TATTTTATAGATGAAAACACAAGTATAGTATATGAAATTAAAATCAATCAATATTTAACTTATTTGTTAAACTATTATATCCATTTGTTGTGACGTCACACTAAGCAGCTTCCGGGTCCAAGCGCTCTATCAAACTGTATAGAGACTCAACAACTGGTAATAATAAACGTTTTCAAAGCGATGGTATATTTTCGAAAATCATGATCGCAACATGTATATATCTATGCCTAATAGCCAGAAAGTGATCAATGTTTTAAAAATTGCTCAAATATTATTGTCTGTGAAGCAGCAATTCTAGAGTCTGTCGTGTACACAATGATTTTATATAAAATTCACTTAAATGTGTGACTTGACTAAAAAGTGGTCAAACTATTATTATCTCAATTCAAATGAGTAGTGGAAACAGTATAGAGTGGAGGAACTATGACGTCAATTTCTATGCAAAACCCCAGAAGTGAGTTAGCATTTTAGCAGTTTCGGTTCCCTCGTCCCAAAGTCAATGAGTATTTTATAGTTTGTAGTATTTTCCTCAGTTTAAGAGACAGTCATGACAGATTAATTTGCTGATCATCTATTTTATACTGCTGTATAATGATTTTATTCTGCTGACGGCTGCCTGTCTCTTTCCTGCTCTTAGTTCCGCAAATGTGTGAATTAAATTGTAAAAGTGCATAAACTTAAAGTATCATTTTAACGTGATCAAACGATTTTTCGTCGTTTTTTCTTCTTCTGAAACATTTTACTCCATCATAACTGCAATATTTACACTTCTCAAATTTTATAGCATATTGCTGTATACATGCGCACGATAAACTTATTAAAATATATCATATGAGGATAATAATATGTAGGCACGTTAATAAAACATACGGTACATGTGTTAAAACTTTTATCGAGGGAAACAGTTTTATGCTAGCAGTCGATTGGCCTACAAGGCGTCATAGTTCCTCCACTCTATTCCATACTTTACGACTAAGCAAACGAATATCACAGATGCAGTGGGTCAATTTTTATTTATATTTTTTGTAACTTTTTTAATTGTGTTTGGCTTAAGGCAGGCTCACACTGAATCCTGAACGATTGTAGCATGTCAGACTGCAGACACGCCAAACACGGAAGAAAACGTCCCCACCAGTTTGACGTCATCCACCCGACACTTTTACTATACCACATTCTGAAATGATTCCTCATGACGAATGTAAACAATCTGTAGCGCAATTTTGCACAAGCTGTGTCTCAATAATAAAACCAGGAAGAAAAAAACATTTTGACATTTCCCTGAGGTCGTTTAAATTGTCGCATGAGTCGCGTCATCAAATTCGGAGCTCTTATTGGCTGTTGGATTGACGCTCATCGCAGCTGTTGTCACACTGCAGGGAAGTGTCTGAAATTTTCTAACACTGCCAGAACTTCATCGGAGGAAAATCTGATCACAACGGGCAGTAAGCAGCTGTCAGTGAACATGTTAAACCAACGATCAAAGATCACCGATTTTAGCCTACGATTTCAGGAATCTTTTAGGATTTCCCAAATTTGTCTCAGATGACAAAATCGTGGCTGAAATCTCAGTGTAAGCAGGGCTTTAATCAAGCACCTGCCTTCAAGAATTTTCTAGATGTGCAAATACTCATGTTTTTTTTTGTTAATCCAGGTGGATGCGGCAGTGACTCCTGAAGAACGTCATCTGGCAAAGATGCAGCAGAATGGCTATGAAAACCCCACCTACAAGTTCTTTGAGCAAATGCAGAACTAAAGATCCACATCATCATCATCATTCCCCAAAATACCACCATCATCACCTCTGCATCAAGACAGAGAAACAGACTGACCCCCACACACACAAACACCGGTCAGCTCTGTCACCATCATTGGCTTCCATCACCTCAGCATTTCATCCAATCAAGCCAGCGCTCACTCAGACTGCACAGAAAAAATGATGCATCACTGCTGCCCATCTGTCAGCGGCCCCGTCCATCTGTGCGCTTTCATGCCTGTCCATCACAGCACTGTTGCCGAGAATGAAGCCGTTTTCTTTTGCCCTTCTAAACTTACCCATGATCCTCCTGTCCATTCACATGCTGTAGTTTCGTTTCTCACTCTCTCTCTTTCTTGCTTGAGCATTTTTGTTCCCCTTCCAGAAACTTCTTGAAGCACTTGCTCTTTTGTTTTGCACGTTTCCTGCCTCCTCCCTTTTTCCCGGGCACTCAGATGACGCAGTGCTGTGTTCGGCTCCAACCGCAGACGCAGAGCAATGTATTCATCAATACGCTTTCCATTCAGGTTATTTTTTTCTCTGAAACAAAAAAATATATATTTAAAAACTAGTAAAAACTAAAAAATGCATAAAAAGAACAAAAAAACACATTGACAGAGATCAGAAATGAATGTTTGTTTTTATTTTGTGTGTAATATGTATTGAATTAAGGCAGAAATTAGCTGTATCTATATAGTGCATGGCAATTTTAACAGAGAGAGAGGCGGTTTCTGGATCCAAAGGCAGATTTTTGACCGCTCTCTCTCTCTCTCGTGTAGAGATTTTAGCTGGATTGTACATTTTAATCGTCTTCTTGTGATCACATTTTAAATAAGTGAGAGAAAATGATCAAATAATTCTGCTTGGCTACATCGTCACAGGGACATGTTTTAATGAAAAGTGTGCTCTCTTATTTTATTTTATTTAGACCAGGTGTGTCCAAACTCGATCCTGGGGGGTCGGCATCCTGCATATTTTAGTTCCGACCCTATTTAAACACACCTGAAGCAGCTTATCAAGCTCTTTAGGTTCACTAGAAACTTCCAGGCAGATGTGTAGAAGGAAGCTGAAGCTAAACTATGCAGGACACCGGAAGTTTGGACTCCTCTGCTTTAGACCATGCCACGCACACTTAATGGTTGCATGGGGCTGGAAAAAGATGTATGTATTGTATTATGAAGTGTAATATTAGCCCACGTTTTGGTTCAACACTCTACGCACTTGGCAGTTTAGTTTTTATAAATGGGTCAAAGACGCCCTATTTGCCTCATGAAGTTTTACTCCATGTCAGGATTTGGTTATGGGGCCTGGATTAGGGAAGGGAGGTAATAGAGTGGTGGGATTTTGCTTCAAAAATAGCCACCATTTTTTTTCAATCGTGTGTTTTTTGGTTTGTCCCAGTTTCCCTCCATCTTTGTATTCCCCTCCCAGTGTCTGTGATATTCACGAACACTTTTTGGGACAGAAACTCCTCACCTCTTTTATCCTTTCACCGAAGTATCTCATAGCACCTTACAGGCCAGAGCAGGTGGGAAGGAATCGCTAAGATAGGATATAATGAGTCGCTCTGATGTTGATGGAAGTTGTAAAAAATCTGTTGAATGAAACACAGCCATTAAACCAGTCAAACATTGTGCAGTTTTGTCACAGTGCACACTGCTCATTACGTTCCTGTATAGAATTACCTTAGCTCCAAAATCTGGTGTTGTGCTGATTTGTGGATGCTCCAAGTGAGTGTCTGTGGTCAGTAGGAAACGGAGAAAGCTCTTTCTGTGACGTTTTCCTTCGCTGTCTATTCCCATCATTGGCTCAGAAGGGGGAGAAAAAAAGCTTTCTACAACACTGTAACCCATGAATAAAGTTTTGAATGTACATACAAAGTGCTTGTGATTGCCATCATTTTGTCAAAGGGTGTGTTTGTATGAAGTCAATCTAGGGCCATATATACTTGCAAAACCAAAAGTTTTGCAAACAAAAAATAAACTATTGAGCAAAAATAAATAAATATATTGTCTGCGCCAATAGCCTAGCGGTTAAATTGTGTGACATATAGCACCATGGTGCTCACGGGTCATGGCGACCCGAGTTCCATTCCCAGCTGGAGGTCCTTTGCCATCTTTCTGCTGCCAATACTTTCCTGTCTGTAACCTCCACTGTCCTTTCCAACTAATGGTCAAAAACCTCTTTAAAACATAATAATAATAAATAATGTGAGCAAAAATAAATACATATCTCCAAAAATCGTAAAGTGAAAATTTATGTTTGAGAAATAAAAATTAATTTTGCTAGAAAAAATAAAATGCAAAGAGAAAATTAAGTTGAGAAATAAAAAGGAAATTTGCAAACAAATAAAGAACAGCAGATAAAAACAAGCAGTGCAAAAAAAGACTAAAGCATTTGCAATTAAAAGAAAAAAGAAAAAAACTGTATATATTTTTATTTGCAAAACAAGTGAAACATGCAGAAATGTGAAGTGCAAATGTAAACAACATCGCAAACCCACGGTGGACTAAAAAGCAAATTAAAAGGGGATTGCAATTGATAATGGGTTTTGTAATAATGCTCTAATAAATGTTCTGCAAATATATATATATATATATATATATATATATATATATATATATATATATATATATATGAGTGTGTGTGTGTGTGTGTATATATATTTTTTTGCAGTTTTTTTGTTTGCAAAATTAATTTTTATATTTCAAAAGTAAATTTTTCGCTTTGCGATGTTTGGAGATTTGCATTCATTTATTTAACTTGTGCTCTATACTTTATTTTTTGTTTGCAAATCTTTCTTTTATTTTGCAAGTTTACATGGCCCTAGATTGACTCCATGTTTGTAGGTGCATCCCAAATGGCATACTTATGCACTATTCTACGCCATTTTGTAGTAAAAATGGTGTGAGTAGTACATTCACACTGAAAACACTTTAATTACCCAGACGATGCTCTTATTCAACCATTAGAAAGTAGAGTAGAACGTTGAACTCTTTACACACTCAACAGCTGCTGCTTTGCTCAAATAGCGCTCATGTTGGATTATTTTAAATTGTGAAAGCAGTATTCTCCTAAGCAAGTGATTATATCACCTCCCGATGGAGTATGCGTTTATACTCATGGCACTACATTCATACACTATGCTGTTGAGTGTGCAAGTGCATAAGTACAGACTAGGTAAGAGCATAGTTTGCCACTTGGGACTCAGCTTGTAAGTTTATACTGCTCCATTAAGCAAGACTCATGAAATTCAAAAAACCAACTGTCTCTTTATTGCCCTCTGGTGGACAGTAAAAAGTACCTCACCTTGAGGGAATCGGACACTCGAAAATAAAAAGAAAAAAAGAAAAAGATCCTTTACAAATGGAAAATATCAAAATACACTGCGCCCACGTGGCTATCAAAAACATAGAGTTATATACAATGGAAATATAGCCGATGCTACCCTGCAGTCGGAGAACAAGCATACAAAAAACTGAAAGCTCATACGTGATCATCTATACTTTTCTCACATCCACACACACATTCATTCATCCACACACACAAAGCGCACATCTGCTTACAAACCCGCTGTTCTCCCACCCCGGCCCAAAGTCAAATATCAAACCCGGATTGCTCCTGTCTTCCTCCTGATTGGCTGGGAGTCTCTCCTCAGCTGTCTTTGTCCAGCGCGGCGGCGGCCAGAGTAACTGTGGTGACGGGTTGACCTGTGGCGGTGGCCAGAGTGACTGTGTTTACAGGCTGACCGAGGCCCTGCAGCTGCACCCGCGCCAGCTTCTTCTGTTCGCACTCCGTCACCAGGTTGTTGAGCTCGGCGGCGCTGTAGCCAATCAGAGTCCTCAGGTCACACACAAACTTGTAGACAAATCGCTTGCCTTGCACTTTGCTGATCATGTCTCCATCGTAGTAGTACCTGTAATGGGAAGAGTTTTGAAATGAGAATGACTGTGCTTCTTTAAAACGTCACCGGAAGTGATAATCCCGAAATAAGATGATCACGGATATTGAGACTAACAATAAAAACAGAGATCCTAATATTATTTTAAGAAGTGGAACAGGAGATAAAAGATGTTTCGCAGGGAGACTGTGTAATATAACAGAATCTATATAAGAGGATATGGGTAGAAATATCACTTCTGATTCAGGCTGCTAATCAGCAGGTGGCAAGAAATGCATTTCAAACTTGTACGCCAACCGCCAATTAAAAGTCAAGAAGAAGAAGAATCCCGCACCTGAGAGCTCTGCTCAGCTTCTCGTAGTTCATGGTGGGCTTGTTCTTGCGCTGACCCCATTTCTGAGCCACCAGCTCGGGCTGATTGAGCTTGAACTCGCCTTCTTCGCCCACCCAGGAGATGCAGTCGCGAGAGTCTTTATCCGTCAGCAGCTCCAGGAGAAACTGCCACAGCTGAATTTGACCGTTGTTACCTGAGAGGAAACACGCATGAGATTTGACTCTACAATCGTTGTTCAGGGTGTTTTCTCTGGTACAAGAGAAATCTCAGGAATAGAAAATTATGATTTGTGAACTAAACATACACCACAGGATGCTGAATCTGGATGAGAGATGGGGTTGGGCGATTTGGCCTAAAATTTTAATTTGGATTAATTGAACATTTTAACTCGATTATGATTAATGAACAATTATTTCATTTATTTATTTTCTGCTCTCTTAGTTCACTGAAAGGTTTTGTACAGCAAATATGCTCACATATTACAAGTAAGAGATTTCTGAATGAAGGGTGCAGTACTTGAATTAAAATAATTGAGGGAAACACACCGTTGAACAAATGAAATTAAACACACACGGCCTAAAATAAACAATCACTTTTTAAAATAAATAACTTGCTCTTTTGGAAACAAAAAAATAATTTTCAGTGTTTTTCATATTAAAAGAAAATAAGCTGTATCTCTTCTAAATAAAACAACTCTTGCATATCCTGTAAATGACATTTTAAACAGTACATTTCTTGAATCTTCTGAAAACAAATATTTTAATGTAATCTCTGGCACAGCTTCACGTCATCGTCAATGTAGTGCAAAGTAACACAAAAGTAACAAACAGCTCAGTCATGTGACTCTACAAGCAGTAAGGTAAGCATTTGAAAAAAATCAGATCGATTACTGGTTTGGAATGCCAATTTTGATTACTTTTTGATTAATCTACCAGTCCTAATGAGAGGAAGAATATAGCCCATAAAACAAAAAAGGCAATTTTTAAAGTAAAATGATGACAAATTATCCAACATAACTAATAGGTAGACTACTCCTGACAAGTTTGGAAATGGCAAGATTTGTAACATTTCTGAAGGATTTCTTATGCTCACTAACATATAGTAAAAAATAAATACAAGGATTTTTTTTATTACATAACCAATAAATAAATACACACAGTGCTCAGAATAATGGAGTACACCCCATTTTGAAAATTATTATTTTTATCCATTTCTCAGTGAATATAGGCAATTTATTTTGAACAAAACAGTTTTATTAAAGATATATTTATTACAATAATATTTTAGTCACCAAACATATTTAGAAATTGAAAGATAATACAATTAAATTCAATCGAAATATTGCAAAAAAAAAAAAAAAAAAAAAAAGTACAACCTACAAAATGTTTCTATTTTTTTTTTTGCTTCTCTTGACTTTTCTTTTTTTTTTTTTGTATTTAATATTTTTCTATAACACAATTTTGGCTGTACTAGTTTTGGACCAATATCGTTAGTTATTATGTTAGATAAGCTCCAGATTTGGCTTCAGTACTGATTATTCTAATGTATATGCCCAAATTTAATTTTGCATAGCTTCCTATTAAAAATATTAATTTAAAAAAGATTTGTGAGCACTGCACACAAATATATAGATGCTGAGCACTGCATCTATACATTTAAAAACTCAAATACTGTGTCTTACAATCCTTTAGAAATCATTCCACCAAGCTGAGCTAATTTGATGCTCAAAAAAAAATTGTTTTATCAATATACATTCCTTGGTTAAATAGCTTTTAAATTTGAAATAAAATTTCTCTAAAATGAAAAACAAAAATGTCTTTTAAAGCGTAATATGAAAGTCAGTAATGCCATATTTTATATTCATTTTTCGACAACACAATACCAATGTCTTATTTTCAGAAGATCAATATTTGATGGAATAACCCTTTTTTTAATTACAGCAAAATAATAAAATTTTATTTTGACCAATTTTTTATTTTTATTTTAAAAACATCCTTTAAATCAACCACATTCCTGGAGGACCACCAGCTCTGCACATTTTGCGTCTCTTTAACCAAACACACCTGATTAAGATCATCAGCTCATTAGCAGAGACTGAAAGACCTGTAACGGGTGTGAAAGATAAAGAAGACATCCAAAACATGCAGTGTTGGTGGTCCTCCAGGAAAGTGGTTGAAAACCACAGCTCTAAATAACAGTATTTTCATTTGTAATCATTTGGAAGAAATGTTATCAGACCTTTATAAAATAGAACAAATACTAACAATTTCATAAAAACATACCAAGTAAACACTGTGCATGTAAACACTGTGCATTTCTTGTTTTTCCATATTTGCTAACAAAATATTTCTTTACTATTTTTATTGTAATAATAAAATGACATGTAACTTAAACAAGCTGAGCTGAATTTGTGTTGTCGTCTGAGTGTCTGCATGTACCTGTGCGGTTGCCTGGGGAACTGCGCTCCTCTCCTGAGATGCGAGGGGCTCGTGGTGTTTTGTTGTGCTTCATCACTTTAATGGCTGTAGGTGTGGCCTGCTGCACAGGAGCAGGGATGATCTGCACCGCTGGAGAACATCAACAAACTCTGTTACCCACAACAACAACAACAAGCTCTATTCATCAAAAAACTGAAGTCTAGCCTAGAGACACAAAACTAGCCTTTAAGTTCCAGTCATGTGCAGTTTCAACAAAAAGTGCTTTTGTTGAGGAAACCGAGCAGATGCTTCAGGATCTACTGATACTCACGTTGATCAATGGTGACTGTAGCTTCCTGACTTTGATCCTGACTCGCAAGTACATCTGCACAGAGCATTAGAAAGATTGAAAACAGGCTGAAAATAAAATACACACAATACATACAACTGAGTGTTTTTGTTTGTGAAGCGTACACTTGCGCAGAAGCTCCAGGTGGCTCCACAGGATCTCGCCGCTGGGCACTCTCTGCAGGAACTCCTCCTGGCTGAAGCCACAGAGCTGCCGGCCCGGGATGTGAATGCCACCCACCTCCATCTCATCAATGCCAAACTCTTTCATCACCCAAACTGCCCAGTGGATAACCTGATCTGCTGTCCACTGCACGGGGTCTGACAGATAGAAACATTTACCGTATTAAAGGAATACAAATAATTAATGTTATCATTTACTCATCCTTATTTTAGTGTTTTTATCTGATGTTGAACACAATAGAAGATATTTTGAATATTGCTGGCAACCAAACAGCTGACATAGCCACTGACTCTCCTTTTTTTCATACTATACTATATTTTTGTGAAAAAAGAAACTCAGTGGTTGGTCAAATTCTGGGCAAACTGTGTTTTTAACATAAAATCTACTGTAATAGCGCTAATGTTCATTTCTCATTTAATTTAAGTAAAATACTTAATAAAATAAAGGAGTATAACAGAATTGCATACACTATTGTTCAAAATGTGTGATCAGTAAAATGAATGTGAAGGAAATTAACACTATTATTTAAAATTAAAGTGATCACAGATAATAATAACTGTTTAACATATATTTCAAATAAAAGCTGTTCTTTGAACTTTCGCTTTCATTAAAAATCCTTTCAATGACAAATGTCATGAGCGCAATATTACAAGTCGAGATCACATTTATGTAATACGAGCATGCAAATCTCTTTGCTTGCGCAACTTCTTCCTCTATTCATGCACAAAACTTTTTTCTTGTACACCCTCAAATACACGCTGCTTAATTGCAGATTTTCTTGTGCGCTCTCAAATAAACGCTGCTGAAGTGTGATTTAGTGCTTTATGCAACAAGTATGTCTTCAACATTTATTTCAAGGAATATTTATTTAGGTCTCCAATAGACCTACAGAACAGCATTAATGCGTCCTTAAGTAAAGAGAACGGCCATGAACTTCAGCAAGATAAAGTCATTGTGTAAAGAGCTATGGACTTAATATACAAAATATAATTATGGAAACTGTGTTTATCTTCACTGAAAGCTACATCGTGTTGCCTCACGCATCTTACATCTGTCTGTCAGTCAGTCAGTCAGTAAGCATGTCACCTTTAAGGGTCAAACAAATAACGCACAGCCCTACTACAGTTACAAAAAAGTTCTTGCTGTTATAATTCACTTACCTTTTAATTAGTTTTGGTGCGATTATAACCCACTTTTAAAAAAACGACAATGACTAAATGTTTTGAATGAGCTGTAATGCAGCTGTGGCGGGATGAATTTTGGTGTGGCGCCCCGCCATGGAAGAATGAATGTAGCGGAAACCAAGAATAATTTTTGGCAGAATAATTTTTGACACTGAAAGCTGAACAAATGGCTGCTGAAAACTCAGACGTGCCATGACAAGAATACATTTTAAAATAAACCAGGATTTCTGCAGGTTTCACAAAGTTAAATTTAAGACTTTTAAAGACATTTTTAAGACCATTATGAATGACAATTTTGAATCATAAAAGGCTAAATGCGAAGGAATTTTTCAAATGACCCATATAGAAAAGATAAATAAATACATGGTAAATACAAGGAGCACTTTAAAACAAATGTTATTGTAAGGACAATAAGAAATCCATTATGATCGATAGAGTTAAAAATTACCTTTTAAATAAAAGGTTTTAAGATTTATTGAGATAGATTGTTGGCAATTGTATGAATTTTTGCCATATTGGGTAGAAATACATGGAGCAAAGGAAAATTAGGACCTGTTTAAAAACCTACAACACAAAATTTTGATAAATGTAGGACTTTTTAAGGCCTAACATTTTGATTTTGAGATCTAAAACATTTTAGGACATTTTTAGACCTCGCGGAAACCCTAATAAATTTAAAAAGTAATATTGTGAAATAATATTACAGAATGAAATACCATTCTAATTTATTGCATTTTTAATCAAATAAAATGCAGCCCTGGCATAAATTATGTGCTTTAAAAATAAAACTTTTGACCCAAATTTTTTAGCACTAATCAGCATTTACATTCAACTCTCAAACACACAAGCACAGACAAAGCACTCACCATAGGGAATGTTCAGTCGAACCTGCTCCTTGCGGTAGCCTTCTAGTGCAGCCGCCCAGCGAGTCACCTGCTCTGAGGTCTCATCAGGAAGGGCCGCTCGCTCCACAGCGATCACTTGTCCATCCTCTACCAGATGAGCTTCCTCGCCAGCAGCAGCATCTGGATCGATCACCACCTCCACTGTTTCCACTGGCTTCACAATCTCCAGAATATTCAGCTTCTCTTCACCTAAAACAGAGCGCAGATTTCAGTTAGTAAGATGTTTTAATGTTTTCTTTATTTGATCAAAAATAACACAGTAAAAATTTTACACTTCAAATTAATTTCCTTTTGAGTTCTGTTTAATATTTTATTAATTTAACTGAACTTTCAGCAGTCAATACTCCATTGTTTAGTGTCACATGGTCCTTCCGATAATATGCACCATATATTTGCTGCTCTATTATAATCAATTAATATTGCTACTGCTCAACTATTAAAAGTGATTTTTACAATTTTCAAAGTTGAAAACCTTTTTCCTGCAGCATCGAATTGTGCAAAGTTCAAAATAACAGTAGACCTGTCACAATAAGGAATTTTTGTTGTGCAATACATTGTCAAGAAAATTGTTTTGATAAGCTAAAATAATGTCATTTTGAGATCATTTTATGCTACTGACTATATAATGATTATATAACAACATAGTAATGCAAATAGCCATAAACACTTTCAAATACTTATCATCCTTAAGGTTATGTGGGTTCTATAATTTGATGATAAAAAGGTAAATGCCCTATTATATATCCTATTAAATGTCCTGTTAGGTAAATGTCCAATTATCCAAACATCAACTTTGACACCGGTGAGGTAGAATGCAAATGTCATTGTAAAATGGCTTTAAAGTTATTTGTGAATCTGTAAATATATATTGCAACACAAAAAAATTCTTGAAGTCATCTCCAAATATTGCACGATATGTCGAGTGATTTTTTTTTTTTAGAGACTTCAACAGAGTGTAAAAATCTTGATGGTTCTGTGGGTCTTGTCTATCAAATGTGATGTTTATTTTTTATTTTCTATTGGATTTGAGTCAGGTGATTAGGTGGGTTATTCTACAGCTTGATTTCCTTTTTCTGAAACCATTTGAGAGTTTCCATTGCTGTGTTTTGGATCATTGTCTTGCTGAAATGTCCACCCTGGTTTCCTCTTCATCATGCTGATAATGTAGATGTTAGACTGAAGCAGTGAATATTAATTTACACTGATAAAGAGCAGAGGATTGCTGAATAACTTTTGAGAATAACCACATTCAGCTGCTTTGTGGGCTTTAAATGACTTTCTACAGCTTCCTTTCTTCATGTGTTCAATATCTTTTTCCTGTGTCATTTCATTTCATTACATATAACTTCATTTGTAAACTAATAACATTGGTTTTATTTTCATGTTTGTATTACTTTGGTTGTTATCAACATCTGGTGAAAATAGTCAACATCACCTTTAAAAATATGTTTTCTGAGAAAAAAGGTGACGTGCTGAATACTTATTTCCCCTACTATAATTGAGTAAATTCACTTGTGAATTCATTTGATGTTCATCATTAACCTTCTATGCTTTCACAATGTCAATTTAAGTCCTCTCTCTGGCAGCTTTTAAACATGCAAATATTCCTCTAATCTCTCAATTATCATGAGCTCATAAAAGCTGCATGCATAATTACAAAAGAATTAGCAAAGTGCTGTTTAAAACAGCATGCCCCACCGCAGGACACGCAAAACCACCCAAATGTTTGAATTTCTGTCTGAAAGGCATGTTGACAAGTTGAGATTTGTCCAACAGCAACATGAGATCACTGTAAACAGTTACCGGGTTTCGTGACGATCTGCACACTGAGCTGTACTGTGCCATCTGTCTTCACTCCTTGATCGAACAAGCTGTGATCAGGATGCAACTACGAGGGAAAAAAACAAAACAGATGAGCATCAACACAATGAGTGCACTCAAATAAGAGTCTGTTCAAACAGAAACACATACTTGGATGTCCTGCAGACAAATGTCATATCCATCCAGCGGGATCTGAAGACGAGGCTCCAGCAGCTTCTTCAGGTTTCCGATCGGCTCATTGATGTCAATGTCCTGAGTGATCAGTTCAGCTGCTGTGATGGTTTGCTCCTCGATCCTGGCGTTTGGTCAAATGAAAAGCATCATTTCACAGGCACAAGATGCGCATTAGTCAATGAAGTGATTCATCCCATAGAGAGGAAAAGAGGAGGAGGAATGAAATCACTTACCCTTCCTCTAAACACTCCTGTTTCTCCCGTCCATCAATCTCAATTTCAATCATCTCCTCTGTCTCACTTTTCGACATCCCTTCAACTCCTTGTCCAACTATAAAGCAAATGCAGATTAAAATGTATAATATAGACAATTTAATATAGAATTAATAACAAGCAAGTGTACAAGAATGGCTGGTAACAATTTACAAACAAAAAAGTTTGTTAACAAATTAATCTAGGTGTCTGCAGGTTTGACAAAGGTAAAATTAAGACTTTTAAAGACTGTAAAAAAATTTGAAACTCACACAATGAGTTGTACACTACCTGACAAAAGTTTAAGGAACAACAAATGATACCTTGACTTCTAGTTGATCATTTGGTATCAGAAGTGGCTTATTTGAAAGGCAACATGGATGGTGCAGTGGAAAAAGAATGAAGTGCATGACTCTCATTAGCTTGCAGACTGCATCCAAACATCTCTACAATGACTCAAAGAACTTATTAATAAAGTCATCTGGAATGGCAAAGAAAATGATCTTGCAGGGCTCCCAGAGTTCATCAAGATTCTTTGGATTTATCTTTAATGCCTCCTCCAGCACCCTACTCCAGACATGCTCAATATGATTATGTCTGGTGACTGTGCTGGCCAATCCTGGAGCACATTGACCTTCTTTGCTTTCAAGGAACTTTGATGTGGAGGCTGAAGTATGAAAAGGAGCGCTATCCTGCTGAAGAATTTGCCCTCTCCAGTGGTTTGTAATGTAATGGGCAGCACAAACGTCTTGATACCTCGGGCTGCGGATGTTGCCATCCACTTTGCAGATCTCTCACATGCCCACATACTGAATGTAACCCCAAACTATCATTTTTCCTTCACCAAACTTGACTGATTCCTGTGAGAACCTTGGCTCCATGTGGGTTCCAATAGGTCTTCTGCCTTATTTCTAATGATTGGGATGCAGTTCAACAGATGATTTATCTGAAAAATCTACCTTCTGCCACTTTTCCAAATGATCAACTAGGAAAAAGTCAAGTTATTACTTGTCGCTCATCTGGGATCGACAACAAAACGTTTTTCAGGTATTGCATTACAGGAGATTAGGTTGTGAATTAAACTATACTGATAACAGCTTTAGTTTGAACAACTCCACTGTCAAACTATTTTATAGTAGTGGTTTATTTTTATTGCCATAACAGAATCTATAACTATTGTCAAAAAATTGAGATGCAAAAATACAAACACTATATAAAATCTAAATAAAAAATAAGCAAACAAAACCTATAAGTTTTTGTTTAATTAAAATTAGTTTTAAAAAATCTCCCAAACACTAGAATAATAAAATAACTTTGGCCGTACCTTCCTGTAATTCTGTATCATGCCCTTACTCGTGTTGTTGTCTTTATTAAGATGAATTGTCCAAAGAATTGTAAATCAAGATGCATATTTGTGAACAAAATGAAATGCTACGGGTGTTGTTTTCTCTAAAATTGAGAAAAGAACACATTTCTGCGAGTAGACTCAAAAGTGATTGACATATATAGTAGTAATCCATTGTTTTTTTTAACCATAGGAGTTTTTATGTCAAATAAAAAAACCTCATTTCCTCTTTGATTAATTATACCTTGTTTGTATAGGAAAACAAAAGTGCTGAGAAAGCACTTAATTGTTTTTTGCATTACTTTTAAGGTTTAAGGTTTGGTTTTTTTTTCATGACTTTATAACTTCTTCTCCAACCAAGTCTTTTTAAGCACTTTAAGGAAACTTTTTGAAACCCACAGAAACTCACACTAAGATACTAAAAGCGAGAATTTGTGACATCCGAATTTTACTGTATCAATTATTCTTTTTTATGAATATATAGTTTTTACATGAAATTGTTTAGTGCTTGTTCACACTTTCCACAGTACATTAATCTTAACATATTTGATTTAAATCTATTAGTAAATGCAGAACATGACTATACATTAACGGATGCTGGAAGTACAGTTTTACGCTAATAATAAACTAAACAAAAGTATCCAGTAAAGTGTTACCATATGAACTATACGAATATTCAAAAAAATAAAACCATAAATTTACATATTTTCTAACATTTTAACAGACACAAACTTATATAAAACATCAAAGTGTGTCCCAGGTGCAGTAATTAGTGAAGTTAACGCACTCAAGCTGTCTCTGAAGTCCTGAAAACTCTCAGGCAACACCGAGGCTTTGCTTGAGCACAGGCCCAATTTGTGATTTACCGCACGTTATCACTTTTATTAAACACAAGGGACGCACATATTTATTAAATATGCTATCCATTCGGTCAACCCGTTTATTATTTGGGTGTGTAGCTTTAAACGTAATATTTCGCTAATGTAATTTCCACCAGCGACTGGGTGGGAAGACGACGCGCGAATCGATACAAACGCAGTTGCCATGTTGGAATGCTTTTGGGTTTCGTAATATAACCGCAAAACCGGGCGTAAAAGACGACTTTTTACAACTTCTGAAACTTTCAGGGCTAGCTACACATCAAGACTTTTGATTCTGGAAAGTTAAAACGGAAATGGAAGAAACGGAAACAAAACAAGAGAAGGGCAGATGTAAAAGCAGCCGGAAATCCTGGCCGAAGTCACGGCGGCTGACAGACTTCCGAAAACAGCCGTGCGACTGAAGAAACGGACGGAAACATCACGGTGTTTAATTATGCGATTCGTGCGGGATGTATTATCAACGGAAGGTACAGTTATGGATGAAGTATATATGTATTCCTGGCGTCTTTGTTAGCTGATTAGCTTAAGCTGACGAAAGACAGAGAGAGACACGCCTGGCTGAACTGAAGATCTGCTCGAGCAAACAGCTCGCGCTAACTTTTACGAAAAGTCGTGCGATCGAGTTATAAAGGTTAATCACATCTCTCGATAAAATAGATGCGTTATAAACAATCCACAATAAACTCTGCAAGTATCTTTACCGTCTGGTCGTCGGACGTGAGAGGGCTGGGTTATTGTCACTTCTGTTAGCACTCCGGCTAGCTCTGTTTCCCCTCAGGATGCTAACAGCTAGCTCGCGCAGAAAGCGGGAAAACTGACACGCTTATAACCTCACACGCATTGAACACACATTCTGTTCGCCTTTATCTCCTCAATATTATCCTTTCTACCAAACTTACCTCTTTATCCCGGCGAGTAAGTGCTGTGTTGGAGTTTTAGCGGGCTAAAGCTGGATGTCAGGGCTTTAGTTTAGTGTGTGTGCTAATAAGTTGACTGAATGTTCATGCTGGTTTTTGGTCAACATTGCATTGGGGGCGGGGATGAGCTGGAGGCCTCGCTGCCCACTGACAGCAACACGAACACCCCACTCGGGACTCCTCATCCTCTTCATGCACGGGGATTAAACAGTATCTGAGTATATGTTTGTTAATTGTGCCACAAAAATGCCAACAAAAGACAACAGAATGTGTCAGGTTTTACGTTTTCTTTAAGGCGAGACACTGTCAGTGAATAGAGTAAATGTTTTAGTTCTCAACGTATAGAACAAAACTTATCGTTATCAAGAATTGTTTTGTATTTGTTTTCTAAAACAATGAAAATGTGTCACTGGGGCTTTATTTTATGCTAATTTGCTTGTATTTTTATCACAATTGGAAGAAGTCAGATTATAAATTCTTCTATTTTAATCTTTTTTTTAACAAACCCTACACACTCTCAGAAATAAAGGTATGTGAACATTTGTACTTAAAGGGTCCATATCGGTACCTCAAAAGTATAATACTGCAGCCAGTAACTCACTGCTTATTCTGTGAATGAATGCCTTAGTATATTTAAGGCTGAGTATTTTCTTTGATTAAAAGCAAAAAAAACTATTGTAAATATGTTATTTAATGTGATATCCTAATTAAAAAATGACAGCAGTGAGAAAACTGCAGTTCAGAAAGCATCTGACAGTAGTGATATGGATATATTTGCACAAGTTTTGCAACACACTTATCCATGAGGTCATTTAACTGTTTCACTCGTACGATCACACCGATGTGATTAGCCTTGGCTGATTCCTGAAGCGTACGTTCACACCGGTGTGATTAAAATGTTCAGAGCGCACATCATCAACTGCTAAAACTCAAATCTGACGGTGGACTCCCGTTTCTTTGGTAGATTTTCTACTCTCCCATATAAACAGTTGATTACCTTCATGCATTTCAGCAGAAAATTTTGAATAAACATGCCGTAAATCCAGCCGTTTGGATCTCTCCAAGTTACTGATTTTCTTGAAGTTAACAAAAAGTATTAATATTGTTTATTAAATTATGCAATAATTGTATTTTGTTTGCGTCTAAGTACCTAAAAACAAGAGGAACCCTTTTGTACTTTTTAGGTACTAATATGTACACTGAGGTATTAATATGATCCTTTTAGGTACAGATTTGTACCTTTCCAAAAGGTACCCACCCTAGTGACAGCTCGCATACTTTATTTCTGAGAGTGCAGGTACACTAAAAACAATACTGATTACAACAATTACCCACCGACAGTCAAATGTGCTCAACCCTTTGACTGTGTACTTGTTTGTTTTTGTCCACATTAAATGTGTAACACATGTCTTTTTAACTTCTTTATTGTCTTCCAGGTATTAATTGTCTTTTACGTATTTATTGTCAGCGTTGTTTACCCTTTAACTGCCTGCTCTACCAAATGGTTGACCATATTTTGACTTTTTTTTTAAATAATGACTGTTAAAGTCATTTAAAAATGACTGTTTTAAAATAATGGTTTTACACACAAAATGCTGGTTTACAAGAAAATCAAACAAACATAATCCTGTTGCAAAAATAAAAAAAAAAGTGTAAATGAGAATCTGATATATTTTATGGCTTCAAAAAACAAATATGATTTAGTATTCAAAAATGTTTTATTTTTAAATAAATTGCTCTCAGACATATTTTTCACATATTTTACATGTGTATTAAGTCCGGTACTTTTACCATAAACTGATATACAGTATCAACCATTAGGTAGAGGTTGATATTTTTTACTTTAAGATGTGTTGAAAAAAATGTATTGAGTGTGTTAACTAGAGACATTATGAGTTCAGAAATGCAATTCAAACATTTATCTTTAATTGGTGGGGCAGTTGAAGAGTTAATAGTGTATTGTTTTGTTTGTATTCTGCACTGTCTGGAGGCAGCACCTAAGCTTTTCAGACACATGCTGCTGATGATGCGACAAAGGGATTTGATTTTGTCTCAAAGATTACAGAGGGAATTTTTGGATATGTCTTGTTGCCAATCCTAGCTTTAGGAACAACAAACGATACCTTGACTTCTAGTTGATCATTTGGGATTAGAAGGGCTTATATGAAAGGCAAAGGCCTCTAGATTACACTTGTTTTACTGATTTTTAAGTATTTAATTAGGACAGTAAGATCTGACATTGCTTAGACCAGGGGTCACCAAACTTGTTCCTGGAGGGCCGGTGTCCTGCAGATTTTAGCTCCAACCCTAATCAAACACACCTGAACAAGCTAATCAAGTTCTTACTAGGTATACTTGAATCATCCAGGCAGGTGTGTTGAGGCAAGTTGGAGCTAAACTCTGCAGGGACACCAGCCCTCCAGGACCGAGATTGGTGACCCCTGGCTTAGACAAAAGTCTTGTCACTTAACAGAGATAATGTACAGTATAGAATATAAAGTCATGGTGCAGTAGAAAATGAATTAATATTGTGTAAGAGCTTGGATGACTGCATCCATACATCTCTGCAATGTCTCAAATAACTTATTAATAAAGTCATCTGTAATGGCAAAGAAAGCGTTCCTGCAGGACTCCTAGAGTTCATAAAAATTCTTTGGATTCATCTTCAATGCCTTCTTCATCCTAGACATGCTCAATAATATTTACAACTGGTGACTGGGCTAGCCAATCCTGGAGCACTTTGCCCTTTTTTGTTTTCAGGAACTTTGATGTAAAGGCTGATGTATGAGAAGGAGCGCTATCCTGCTGAAGAATTTGCCCTCTCCTGTGGTTTGTAATGTAATGGGCAGCACAAATGTCGTAATACCTCAGGCTGTTGATGTTGCCATCCACTCTCCAGATCTCTTGCACACCCCCATACTGAATGTTACTCCAAACCATTATTTTTCCTTCACCAAACTTGACAGATTTCTGTGAGAATCTTGGGTCCATGTTGGGTCCAATATTTCTTCTGCCTTATTTCTAATGATTGGGATGCAGTTCAACATATGAATTATCAGAAAAATCTACCTAATGTCACTTTTCCAAATTATCTACTAGAAGTCAAGTTATTATTTATTGCTCTTACAATTGGGATCGACGACAAGACTTTTTTTCTCAGGTATGATGATATTTTTTTTTTTTTTTTAGGTATGATGGAAGTGGAAATGTATGCCTCGGTATAAGAGGGGAAAACAGGCTTTGGAAATATTTATTGTAATCAAAATCCACAGACACAAATAGATAAAGAGTGATCAAAAATACTATGTTTGTGAAGATTTAGTTCCACTAGACTGAAAAGCTAGAATTTCTAAATTAGTCCCTGCAGTGTTTCACCTTAGGTGTGAAAATGGACACAGATTAGGGCTGTTTGATATTGTAAAAATCTGACAATGTGATATGTTATGATGCACTATTTGGAAATCATTTATGGTCAAACTTAATTTTAAGGTTATGTTTTTGCTATTCGCAAACCATTAACTTTGATTTTTGACTTCAATAAACTCCCAATTTGCCCATTATTAAAGTTGTTTAGATATTAGAGATGTAGAATAAGATCATACAGAACATGAGAATAATAATTACTAATAAGCAGCCAATTCTCAATAACATACCTGCTAATAAGCTTCTAGTTAATAGTGAAAATTGGTTCCTAAAATATGTATTATTTTTGATTGATTGAGATGATTTGATTGAGTGTATCATGCATACAATGTAATAAATACATTTCATGCAGTTGTAAATACATTGTGTTAATCTGTACATGGGTATTCTGCTCACACCATCTATATTACTTTATCCTTTTATTCTTAGTCCTTAATCCATAAACAACACATTTCTTTGGTGTTTTCACAGGCCTAATATAGTAAGGTTGTCATTGAACATTGCAAGAACCATAAATCTTCCTCATTCTCTATAAATGTAAATTTAGAGAATATATTGATTACTTGCTCTATCTTAGAATTACTCAAAATACTTTCTTTAACTTCATAAAACCTGAAGGAAATTCAAATGAATTGTCTTTTGGTGTGATTTGTAATGTCCTGAAGCCATTGATCAAATAAATATTGTAGAAAATAAAAAGGTTTTGTGACGTTCTTTATTTTAAAGTGTTGTTAAAAGTCATTGAGATCATCAATGTCAAAGAGGAATATTGCAGTGAAGGCTGATGTTTGAGTTTACGTATAAAATACTGTAACAAAAGACTAAAATACATAGTTTTGGAAGAAAAACAACTCTGCTTGTCTGAATCACATATAAGGAAAAACAAATAGTAAAAATATTTAAAAAGGCATATTTCACACACAAAAAAGAAAACTGCCATCATTAACTAACCATTCCAAACCTGTGTGACTGTTTCTTCAATTAGAAAAATACATACATACATACGCTTAAAACATGTAGAAACAAGTCAAGGTGCCTGTGATTAAAATCTACAGAAGATTGATTATATGATGACTACAGACTTTAGCAACATCCTGAGATGAACCAAGTCTGTTTCTGCTCAAACCAAACAGACCATCACATCTGTAGCTGGGCCTCCTTAGCAACATGATGCTAAGCAACTTGATATGTCTGTAGGCAAATCTATAAAATAGTGCAATATTACATTTAAACTGTAGGTTGCATCACCTATCATTGATATGAGACAATACTACTCGGTAAATAAAACAACTGAATACTTCTAAATAAAAAACAAAACAATACAGTAGTACAAAAGAAACAGTAGATGCAGTAGGCCTGATGTGGATTGTTTAGCTGTATTCAGATCTGGCCACCAGGGGGCGTGGTTTTGCTCCTAAAGCGTAGAAATGTACAAGTGCACTTGAAAAAATACATTATTTCTCTGGCGTTTGAGGTCACTTTAATTCACTTCTCTTAGCACGGTACTGGCCAACAAGAGTCCATTCTTCACAGCACAAAGGATTGTGTATGCTTGTATCGTCTCGGCTATGGAAAGAGAGGAACAATTCATTGAAGTTTCTTTACTATAATATTTTAATAGTGAGTTAACAATAGGTATGGGAAGGCGTTAAACTTAATCTGTAAAACGTACTTCTGCCTTTTTTCATGCTACTAGTACATT